TGTTCATCTAAAGTTTTAGAGGTAAATTTTGTTTAAAAAAAAAAAAAAAAAGCAACTCCTCCAGGCATTGGCCAGAAAATCAGATATCTAATCCAGTAAATTCATTTTTTAAACAAAGACTTGAGACCATGAGAGAAGTGGGTTTATTCATTTTCTAAGGAAGTTGGTGCCAAGATAGGTTTAGAACTCAGGCATGCAAGTGCCTGGTCTGTTTCTCCTCCCCGGTCTTCTTCTGAAAAAAATCAGAGACAGAGGCGCCAAGAGAGACGTTGACATTGTGCCTTCTGCCCGAAGTTTCCACACACGGAGGCTGGGACTGTGTGAGTGTCACAACCCCTTCCCCTCTCACCAAGTGTGGGCAGTGGAGCACCTGTCCGTGCCTGTAGCCCACACCCACACCTCCCAGACCTGTCCGGCTCCACAGGACCTCCCTCCCTCCCTCAACTCCAGTAGGGTAAGCAGGAGAGATGGCTGGGGAATATTCACACCAGGAAAACGAGATACTCACAGCTTTCTTCCTCCAGGGCCCCAGGAGCTTCAGGCAAACTAACCTTTGCCTGGCCGCATGCGATATTTATGCCTGCTTTGGAGCCCGAGCTGCCTGGCCCTATCTTTCCTGGTAATTATCTTCAGGAAATGGGGCAATTTTCTTCCTTGTTGGCTCGTTCACTGTTACCCCCACTCGAGTTCTGGAAATGTGCCCTGATATGTACAGCTGCATGCCAATCACCTTAGAGCTGACAGCACTCTCGGTCCACAGTCTCCCCTGCCCTCACTGCAGTCTTGTGAGTTACACAGTATCACTAGTGTCTGTGTTGTTGTTTTTAAAAGTTTATTATTTCTTCTGAGAGAGAGCAAGAAGAGAGAGGCATCCCTAGAAGGGTGTTCAAACTGCCACCTACCCCAGTCTCAGACAGCTCAGGTCACCTGGAGAGCTTAGAGGCCCTAGGACACAAACCCAGAACCCTCCCATGTGTGTCTGAAGCAGGAAGGGATGGCTTTTGGGCTCTGGACCATGTGGGTTCAAGGCTTCTGCAGAAAAAAAAAATTCAAGAGTGATGTAGTGATTAAAAACAAAAGAAACGTTATTGGGCAAGAAGCGGAAGGACAGCTCCTTGGGAGAGGAAGAGTGGGAAGCAGCAGCTTCCATGGGGCTTTTATTGGCCTTAATTAATGAGATGTTGAATGTGGGTGGGCTATGCACAGGAATTTGGGAGAAGGGGTAGTCTAGAGGTTGACCCAGAGAACTCCAGTGCATTCAGTTAAGATTGTGGCTAGCAAAGTCCCCTATCTCCCATCATTATGTGCTAACACATTAAAATGAAGGTGCCCAGGAGGGGTCATTCCTTGTGCAGTCTTGGCTCCAACCGGTTTCAACCAGCTGCATTTTGGCATCCTTTTCAAGTGGCAGTAGATCTCCTGAGATTCAGCATCTGGTCTTGTAGGCTCCTACCCCTGTGTGCATCACCACAGTCTCACACTCACACCAGGTGCATGTGTATGTGTGCCCAGGATCCTGAGAGGAGAAGGAATTGTGGCGTGGCCATCCCCCCGGGGGATGATTTCTCGCTTTCTGTCTCTCTGGTGAGCGCATGTGCCCTGTAGCAAAAACCTCTCAAAAAAGAGTAAAGAAAAACACCGTATGCCCCCATTAGTATAGACTGAAGCTCTTACCCTTTAGCAACAGGTAAAGGACTTGATAGCATAACAGAGTAATTGTAGATACTAGAAGCTGCACAGGCAGATGGGTGAGGGAATTTAGGAGAAAATTATTAACAGATACAGAAATGCATGTATTTAAATGGAAGAGGTTATGAAATGGTGTACCACATTAGAGTAAAAATGTTCAGAATTGGATATATAAATGAAACAAAAATTAATGGAACAAATATCTACTGTAGACAACATAATGTAATATCAAATGTTAGAGATGATTAATATGTTTATATCCTTGATTTTTATTATTATTCAAGGTGGGAAAACTACAGCCCTGGTGCATTTCCACAGAGTGTCCCACTGAGAGTAGAAATGTTTGTCATTTTCAGATTTCTTGCCAATAAAACTAAGGTGAGGCACTGATGACATGCTCTTGGCACTCCAGCATCTTCGCTATGACTGCCAGCCCTGTCTGAAGGACAAGCACTTCAGTAGCAGGGAAAGCTCTGAGACTCTGGCCCTGGTGTCACTAGACAGACAGAACCCTCGTACTGTCATCTCAGAGATTTTATCTAAGGCCAGAGTCAGTGGAAGAGGACTCCTAGGAGAAAGAATGGGCCTAAAGGTGGTGAAAATAGTATTTTAAAATTAGTACTTTGGGGTTGTTAAAGGATGTAGGAAAGGCCTCCATACTCCTGCTTCGGTCTCTGTAAACTGTGACCTCATTCAGAAGGCTGCTCTCTGTTTGGTTGCTAGATTACAGCCAACCACAGCAGCGAGGCTTCAGTCAATCACAGGCATCCTGCCTTCTAAACTGTGTTAATGCACAGACTTTGTAATGTAACTAATCCAATTGTTTTTCTACCTCATTCCTTCATTTTGTTTTTGTACATCACTTTTCCTTTCCAAAACTTAAAATACTGCAGGACCATGAGGTTACCCAGAGTTGCTCAGAAGTTAGTCTGGGAAACTGCTTGATTCAAATCATATTAAGACTGGCTCAATTAAACTCCACTAAATTAAACTGTCTTTCTTTCAATGGGATCAAATGTGGAAAGTGTCCTAAAAGCCCTTTTTCTTCCCTTGTTCTTAAAAATGTTACCCAAAGGAATCTGACAAAAGAAAATTGTCACTGCATCCCACTCCTATTCTCATTCAAGCCTTTGAGATGGAATCAGTTCCCTGGAATCGCTACCAGGAAACAACTGGCTACACAGCGCCCATCTAGAATCTAGAATTTAGGCAATGCTGTGTCTGTGCCAGCAGGCTGTCCCACCTGGAGGTGAAACTGCCCCCCCACCCCCAGACATTATTGGATAAATAGGGGCTAGTTTGGTTTATCCCAGTGGTTCTCTGCAGAACAAAGGAGTTTTCAAGTTGTAGGGAGAAGAGCAGGTACTGGAAAACAGTGAAAGGGCAAAAGTGGGAAAATGTGAAAGTTGTTATGTGCCTTGAGAAAACACTTTAGGTCAGGATTGATGTGGTTTTGTTTTTTGTTAGTTTTCCTAGAGAGCACATGTGCTCACCAGAGCGAGAGAAAGGGAGAGGAGGAAGCATTCTCAAATGGTCATGTTGCAATGTCGTCCCCTCCATCTTTCCCTTCTTTTCAGGACTTTGAGTATGCATACACATGCACCTAGCATGTTTCTCAAGATGAAGGGTCCAGGACTAAAACCTCATTGTCATGTGGGATTCAGGTGCCATAATCACCGGGTCATGGAACCAACACAGTCAAGGCTTTTAAACATTGACAGTGTTGTCACTTCAGCCCAGAGAGGTGTTTCCATGATGAAACTGTCTGGTGAGCTAGGGTATGGATCAGTATTCCAGGCCTAGGCACCAGAAGAAAGCCTGCCCCTTCTCCAGGTGTGACAATCTGATTGTAAGGGTCCTGGTCATTGATACAGGGTGGGAGTACAGGAGAATCACTGCGGTGGAGAAATAATTTGCTAGTCAAGACATGGAGATAGTCGACTTTGCCATGTTGGATTGCTCATGGCAGTCAGCAGCTGCATCATTTCTCAAGACAGAAACGCTCAGACACTCTTATTGGTAGTGATGAAGTGGTGATCGTACTTAAGCAAGTGTGTCTTGTGTTCTTATACACATAGCAGAAGATGCAAAATAAAGTCAAAGTGATCAAGAGAATTAACTTCCTGACCAGGTCTTAAAACTGTACACTAGAGGGCTAACAACCAGATGTACGGTTCTTTAAACTCTATGCATTTTTTACTTTGTTTCTTTAAGTTGCTTTATGTATTTTATATAATAGTGAGAAAGATAAATGAAGACAGACTATCTTGGAAAACATCTGCTATATTGTGGTTCCCCCATCAAACTACTTAAGAAAACAAAACAAAACAAAAAGCACAGGCATGTATCGCTACCACACCATTAATATCTTCAGGGACAGGAATTATGGACAGATGTGAAATCCTGCAAACAGCAACAAGTCAATGTGTCTTCACTGGTTCCCAAGGGACCAGTGCTTTCTAATGGGATAGTCTTGTTTCCAAAGAGGAAGAATTCCTTGATGACCCCCTTGTATCGCACTGATGCTGCATTAAAAATGATGGAAGGCACAGACTGGGATGCCAGAAATGAAGCTTCCATGCTCTGATGTTAGTTTGAGAAATATGTGGTTTGAGCTTCCAGGTAGAAGCAAAGAATGAAAGAACAAGGAAACACACTGAAGTTTATTGAGAGGAAGAAGATACATTCCACAGACAGAAAAGGACAGCTCACCAGAGGTCAAAGGTTCAGGTATGTCCCACAGGCAGAGTGGTCCAGTCTGCCAAGAAGGCAAGCTGGTCCCGGTCCTTTCCAGGGTCTCCTTTTCATCTTGCTTAGATCCTTTATTTAGCCAAAATATGTGCCCCAAGTTCCCCTCCAGCTTGTTACTCTTTAATACTGTTTTTTTCCATTTTTATTTTGAGAGTTCGGTGAATGTTACAAAGTAAGTGGTTCTTTGGGTCTTCCTTAACCCTTTGTGTTTTGGTACCCTAACCAACACGTCACACTAATTCTTACATCCTGATGAGACTTTTACATGTTGAGAATATCCTGAAATACTACATCCCTGAGCAGTGGGACAGGAAATCTTCCTCCAGGGGAACCGCATTCAGAAAGACTTGGTAACTTCAAACACCTAAAATGCTAGGATTGACAAAAGTTTATCTAAAAGGCTTGAGGTTGCTGCAGAGTGTTCGTGTGGTAGCCCAAATGCCTGAGGTGGCTCCTCAGGGGTGGTGCCTCCCGTCAAAGGAGTGTCTCAGTATATGCAGGCTGCTGAGATGACCACTCTCCTGCTTCCTGTGAGCCATCACACCCTGGTGCCTGCGCCAGCTGTGGAGAAGGCAGGCTGTGTTTGGCCAGTGCTGACCTCCCAACTGCATGTGCATCACTGGGGGAGGCTAAACAGTCCCTCAGGGCTGCATTGCTGGGCTGGTGTGGGGTAGGAAAGAACTAACATGGACTAGCCTCCCTCCTGGTCTATACAGCTGACACAGGCCCACAGGTGTCAGAGGGCAGGGAGTCTCCCAGCCCAGCCTGAGTAGATGGGGCTGTCAGGACTCTTGGTGCAACCTCAAGAAACTCCCAAAGAAACCCAGAACAAAAGTGTGGTGCTGGGGTGGAGGGAGAGGCAGTACGAGGGCTTCCCCCAGTACACTGGATGCAAGCTGGCAGGTGCTTGGAAGTGCAGGCTCTTCAGACCACAGCAGAGCCGATAAATGCTCGAAGACCTTCCCAGGCACAGCCCTCCTTAAATAGTCACTAGTGCAGAAAATTTGAGAAAAGCCATCGGGTGAGTTTCAGGCAAAAGTCCAAATGCTAACAGGTACTTTAGCCCTCCATAACCCTTTCCCAACATGGCTCTTTCTTCCGCACTCCCTAGTTTTGATAAAAACCTTTTGGTTTCTCAGAGTAATGGCCTTTGTCTCTCCATGATCATGGAGAAAAG